TTAACAGTTGGCTGAATCAAGAACTTACTTAAATTTCTAATAAGTTTAAAAGTTTTGCTAGACAGTAGCTCTAATAATTTAAACACAGAAGGACGAATACGATAATATGGCTTGATATACGATACGATAATTCTAAAATCACAGGACACTTAAGAATGAAATGAAACTCATCCTCGACATCTCCAAGATCACATAAAGTACACAATCTCTGGTTTCGAGGCACTGCATTATATCTACCTGTCTCTATATATGTTAAGGTTATGTGCTTGCAATCTAGATCTATATCAACTGTATACTTAGGCTGTTCCTCGATCAGGAAATGACAGCCTCAGGAACAATTTCATTTCACAACAGTGCCTTTACCAAGGTTAACTAATAGTTTACTTGGAATTCCTAATTTAATATAAAAAAAAAATGTCCCTTATTAGGATATTTAACTTCTCACGTAGATGATTTGTTTCAAAACTAATCTAATTTGTTTTAAATAATCTATCATGAGTTCTGTTATCAGCGAGCAAGGTTGAATGTTAACCCTAATACGTAACAAACTTTTCATATAAGATTATTGAAAATGGTGATATTTTTCAATAATCATTAAAAAAAGTCATTCTGAAGATAACTTTAATTTTATTGTCATCATGTGACTGAGTTCCTGAGAAAATAGAGTGCGCTTCCTTGTTGTCTATAGCAGAGACGTATATATTACAATACGGGTCTGTCTATAGTAAGTTTGTTAACGGAGTGCCCTCTCTGTGTGTGGTAATTATATAAGGTGTCAAAAATTAGTCAATCGGTTCAGGGCTTGTGTACCTATGAGCCTTTAGCAAGTTACACAGTGGACAGTATATATCAGAGGCTGGGATTAACCTGGCCTAGGGTATATGTGGGAATATTATAGTAACGACAATAAGATTTATTAATTAATTAAGAAAAGGTTTGTTGATTTTTTTAGAAAAGAATGTGCACAAAAAAATAAAATATCCTCAAAAGCAAATTTTTATAGATATATTTACGATCATTTTGATCTACAAAACTACCTGCGTAAACCAATACAAAAAGAATAACAAAAAAGATCTCCTCATAACTTAAAATTACAAAAAGGGCGATATCAAAACATAGAATCGTCGAGTGTGTAATGTTTGTAATTTAGATGATGTTGAAGATCATGTCATTCTGATTTTCGAGCAATTGTTTTGAAAACTTATTATATTAAAAAGCCAAGCATGTTTAAATACAAAAGAAATAACGAACTAAGGGAAATATGTTAAATTTGCAAATTCGAGAAGAACCTAATTATTATAAATAGATATAGTTGCACTTGTAATTGTGTTGTGAGTGTGTGTAATGTTGTGTAATGTTATTTTGTATTTTGCACATTTAATATCACAAATTTTGTTACTTTGTAACTGGTGAGTCGAACGGCTCAAAATACTACAGATCTTGAACTTGAACCTGGCGATGAGGCTACGTACATGTATGACAAAATATAAATATTGTAGCACTGACAAACAAAATGTTATGTAGTTTTGCCACTTATCTATTGTGGCGTTGTCTATAAAAAGTCTGACAACGGACGTCAGAGACGTATACTTTAAAGCAAATATTTTGTGCGGGACCATTCCCCATCACCAGTTCCACGGAAAAGTACTTAATTATGGAGACTCCTTAACTTGAAATTTCAGGAAAATGTCATCATCTTCCCTGAACGCCATAACGTGTTCATGTGGAACTAGAGACAAGAGATTGCGAGCATCCTCACATAGATATACATGTATACTCCCCCCCCCCCCCTACCACCATCACCACCAGGGATATAAATGAATGTATCTATCAAATAAACCCCTCCCCTACCCACACCCTCTTACTTTGCTCTACTCTACCATGACTAATTGCCCCTGGATCCTGATCAGAAAGCTATCGCCCTAAGCCCAAACCCTCCTTGATCCACGCCTGTTTAGGTACAAACGTACATGTACAAACGGAGAAATACATATTGTAGATAAATTGAAGTTTGACTGTGGTCTCAGTCAATATGTTATCTGACATCAGACCCCTATACCTTCTGCAGTACACACCCCTCAGGGTGTGCCAGACAGTCATAGTTTCTCCAGTACCAGGATACAGACAGGTTGGATTTACTTGTAGAAAAGTCAGTATAGATACCTACATTTTTATGATTGATAAAGAAAACCTATATTCTTATTAATACTAGTGGTGCATATCATGAATGAAAAAATATATTTAGTACATATTATTTTTCTTATTCATGATAGTTTTCTACTTGCACGAGCTTGCCTTTCAAACTGAAAAAATATATATAATAACTCCCGTAACAATATACACGTACAATGTAAACAAGAATGAACTACATTTTCATAATAAAATAAAAGATGTATAACAAAAAACCTGTTAATCTGTGAATGAAATTTAATTAATAGACATGGTGTAACATGTATATATTTCAAATCTCCGATGCACATGTATTTGCATGCACTAAAAGAATTAAGCACGTTATCAGTCTCCAAATCCTACGAAAAATCTAAAAGTGTATGGAAGTACTAAAGTCGATATAAAAAGTAGAAATAGAGGTACTGGATCCTTAACACAGGTGTCTGAAATTATATCATTTCTTTTATCATTAGGCTTATTAATTATTACGTTTCTCGTTAAAAAAACCGTAACAAGTTTACTTACTGTCAATATTAATTAGTCTTTTATTCGGTAAGCAGGTGGAAATACTTCTGACCATAACTTCAGGTCTTTGTGATGGATATATTACATGTACCAATATTTGATCGACCTTTATATTTATAAATCACGAGACATTTCTGTTTGTTTCACACTCATCCATTATGCAAACGAAATGGCAAAATTTAAAACTTTCTTATGTGCCTCCTCGTAGCCTACAGTTTACTGACGTTTCTTTCTATGCATTGTGGGTATATTCGTTTCGTTTAAGATATTTTATATGCTTCCGCTTTTTATGTAAACTCGTTCTTGTCACCACAAACGAATCACCGTTTGTAATCGTCATCCGTAGCACTTCCGTACCGTTTGCGTAAAACTTGCGTACCATTTCCGTACCGTTTGCGAAGCACTTGAGTACCATTTCCGTATTATTTGCGTGGCACTTCCGTACCGTTTGCGTAGCACGTCCGTACCGTTTGCGTCCAAGGTGGAACAGCGAACGTGTACGGGTCTCTATTTAGATTCAATTGATTTGTACAGAAAACTTTGGTACCGTGCCACAACTAATTCGTTTGCTCTTGATGTGTTTTTTCATGTTTTCAACATTTGTAAGTAGGAGTTGTTTTCCTTTTTGTTAACGTTTCTTTTAGTAATTTTGGCCTCAAATTACAACAATTGTTAATAGGCCGTAAAATAATTCAAAGCAAAACTTGACAGTCCATACAATTGGGTGATTCTATCCTGCTAAACGTTCAACGTCCACGTTATTGAAATGAGGCAAATACATTAGCGTACTATTTTCTTGCAATCTTGCTCATTAACAAAAAAGAGGTCATGAGGGCTGATAAAAGATATTAAAATAAATGACATAAAAACATAAAAGAACAGCGTCAAATTGAAAAGTAAAAGGGCTATCTATACATTTTTGAACATTGATTAGAGATATTTTTTGTTTCGAAATAAAATTTGTCATATTATTTTTAAAAAAAACACCAGGTGTTGACTAAAGGTCAATGCATTCTAAAAAGAATTGTTTTACTTTAAACGGTTCGGGGCATGCTACGCGATGAGGTTGGTCTTCGTGCTTCAATATACGAAAATTGATTCTAACTCATTTGCCCTTTGATCTTACATAATTTCATATAGAAAATAAAGTTTAAAATCAACAGGTGATAAGCACACACACATGGAGGCACGTCTCCTTATATGGCCCTAGCTGTTAAATGGATTCTAACAGTTCTGTAATCTAAGAAACCTAACCTTGGTACTGGCAACATAAAAAAACAACAATTATTCATAGTGAACACTGTCATATTATTGTGGCCTTAGGTTGACGCGTTTCGGTAAATATAAAAAGCTATGCTGAATAGGGTTAACGACACTAGAGATGAAAAAAATGACAAACAACCCTCCTGTCAGTTTTTAGCGAGGGGTTTCCTGGTACAATTGTATTATGTCACACTCTCGACAATAATGTGTATAACTACCCACATTATGTAAATCTGGATCTGGTTTTTTCCTATTCCATATCTAAGTTATATCTTTACATTCTGTATTGCGATTATCCGTAACGCCTGCTATGATACTATGATTTCACTTGATTTAATACTGTGCTAGGTGCCTTCAGCATTGTATTTTAGTGAGATACATACTATGTAGCAGTCAAACTGCGCCATCTTAGCTATTATCAGAAGACATAAACAACATACATGTACATCCTCCATTACACACACATACATTACATGCAAGTTCAATATCCTTTACTCCCTTACTTTTAATACGACAATAAATCAATACAATCGAAAGAAACTTCGATAATAAATTGTATTTGTTTTACAACAATAATGAAACAGGATCAACGTAACACACCACGTGTGATACAACTATAACATTAAATATTGAGATACTAATAAGATATTATAAGCAAATACGTTCTTCAACGACATCTACCGTTATAGGTCGTTATAGGTCACACGTAAGACCCCATTAACGACTTGGCGATAGGCTGCTTATTGATTAACGGCTTGACGCACCTGTTGACGCACGTACACAGATACAGCAGGTGATGCACGGACGGAAGTATTCAACCGATCTTCAATACATAATGCTTCTGCTGAAACAAATTGATCCATATATTTATCTGGCCTTTATACATCACCGGAATATGTCATTGCAAAATTGAAGGTACAAAGACAGCTGTTAGATTGGTCTCTAATACATTGTTGTATTGATAACGAGTAAGATCAGCTTATTGCTGATTTGATTTGTTTTGAACTCAAATTATTAATGTTTTATTTATATATTTTTTACAGTACGGGGATCCCAATCCATTTCCAACCAGTAAGCTTTACAACGTATATTCCGCAAAAGGTTGTACGAATGGTAACTGCGAGCAAGTATGTATTAATAAATAATAATAATATACAGCATTTATATAGCGCCCTATATAATTTGTAAAACTACTCTAAGGCGCTTTACAACATATGGATAATAGTAATGGTTATAATTGTGGAAACAAACAACAAAGGCTTGCAATCACTTTCATACATTTAACAAGCAATGTGCACATAATTGAACAAATAAAAGGGTGGTATTTACATGACGTCTTTGCAAAGATTCTAAAATGCAGACGTGAAGAGGTGAGTTTTTATGTCCCTCTTGAACTTGGCCAGGGTATTTGACTTCCTAATAGCAGATGGTAAGCTATTCCACAACGTAGCCGAAACCCTCCCAAAGCATCTGTTTCCGTAGGTCACAGTACGAGATTTTGGGACACACAACAAAGATTCTGACTCCGACCGCAGTGATCTTGACGGCTGATACAGGGTAACAAGTTCCTGTAGGTACTGAGGAGCTGTTCCATTCAGTGCCTTGTATGTGTATACCAGAATTTTGTACTGCGACCTGTATCGTACAGGTAACCAGTGCAACGAATAAAGCGCAGGTGTGATGTGCTCTCTCTTTCGAGTACGAGTAACTAGCCGTGCTGCAGTGTTCTGGACCCTCTGCAGACGACTAGTTAGTTTGTCAGATATACCACAGAGCAGGGCGTTACCATAATCCAACCGAGAGGTAACAAGTGAATGCACCAAAATCTTGCATGCATCTGCAGTTAGAAACTGCCGAATACAGCCGATGTTCCTGATCTGGTAGTAACAGGATTTGGCAATAGCGTTCACTTGTTTCTCCATGTTCAGAGAACTGTCAAAGTATACCCCTAGGTTTTTAACAGCTGGAACAGTCTCAATAGTTCTGGCACCGACCTTGAGCTGGATAGCCATTGTTTGCTGACACTTTGAGGAAAAAACGATTAGTTCCGTCTTTTCCTGATTAAGTTTAAGCATGTTGGCGTTCATCCAGATACTGATATCTGTCAGACAAGCTTCCAGACTTTCTGAGACTGTATTCCAACTGTCCTGTGGTTTTACGGTTTGTATGACTACTCCCTGAAAGACCACATTTCTGCTACAAGTAATGATTTGATTTTAAATGACGCAATTGCTAAAATGCAATGTTTAAATGTACGTTGACTAACATACAAAGCTAGTATTGACATGTATGTTTATGGCTGCTATCATAATGATGGTAGGATTAAAAATAACATCGTATTTACAAATGTTGTAATTTGAAAAATTTATAAAACAGCATAACAGGTTAAATATTGTTAATGTTTTTTATGTTTATTTCAGTGTAAAAGGACGTGTGAAGCCACTCTTAAAAGACAAACAAACACCACATGTGAGGATGCTTGTGTGAGTAAAATATTAAAGTATGTCATAAAGCAATTTTCACCCGTGTTCATATGACCTTAGCTGTTAATAAGACGTTAAACACCAAAACACATCCAAATCTAATGCATTTCAGCAGATAAACAAAAAAGGAAACGTGCACATAGAATATCACAGAAAAAAAGGCTATATAGACTGGTTATAACAGTTTTGATATATTAGTTCATCACATTCGTAACGTTGGATAGCAGGTGGTCTAGTCGTCTACTAATGATCTTTATTACGGATTATGTCTACAAGAAAAAGACTTTATATAACAATATGAATTGCAATGAATACCTTTTCCCAAAATATGTTTTGCAATGCCATGAGACGATTCAGAGATGGTTTCACATCCAGCAATCGATTTGTTATGCTTCACTATATCAATGTAATACCCCATCAATCTATGTAAAACACTAGCAGCCATGTTGAATCAATGGAAAACTAGATGCCACCAAAAGCATTGAGTCTAATGATCGTCGATGAAATCGAGTTTGAAAATACAAACAATCTAAAACATTATTTTTTTTCGAGAGTGTCTTCGCTTCATCAATATTAGACATCCAATGACATACATGCTAAATAGTATGTCATTATGCTATCGAACATATTAAACCGATGAAGAGCCTTCACATAGCTTACCCATGTACTTTAGCCTTATGAGTCATATTGAAATTACAAATGAAAACCTGCAATGTTTCAAAACAGTACAATATTTGTTTTTGTGTATGTTTGTTTGGTTTATCTCAGCTTACCTGACCTGAAAGGCCAAATGACCTTTTGCCGTAATGTGGCCTCCGTCCGTTGTCAATTTTCAACTGTAAACAATTTCTTCTGATTAACCAGGATAACTAGAAAGGGGGTGCTTGCTACGATAAATTGCTACCAACTTTGTTCATATGAATGACCTTTGCCCATATTCAAAAGTCCACTTTTAAGTTTACAATTTTGGTTCATTAGGTTCATTGATTTTGGTCTATCGTACCACTTGTTGGTCCACTAATCTAATTTTGTGTTTAGTGTCAATTTCTTACTCGTTACCCACCATGTCAAATATCGGCATAATAGCAAACATTGAATCGATGACAAGCCTTGAAAATGTTAAGCCTGTTCATTATGCTCACGCTTGGATGGGGGATGAGATTTAGTATAATCTTTTATCTGTTAACAGAACAGGCAGTTTATCGTCATCGAATTACTTTAATGTTCATATAAATGTTTACTGAAATTAGTTCAATATTTTGGAGGGTTAATTTTTTAATTGCGATATTGAACACTTCTTACATTTATGCTCCCTGCATCTTGTCTGATGTTTAGACTTGAATGAATTGCGTTGATGACTGGTAAACTTGGTGTCAGTTCATTTAGACAGTCTGAATAGTCATACCCTGTGTTCAGATTACACCATTTACAGTAGTAAGTAAGAGTGGTTCCATTATCTTCATATGACCTTACCTGGTGCTGTAGGACAAAATCCTATGTTGAGTTTTGAGCGTTCGCCCGAATGAGGAAGGCAATAGGATCTGTCCCCAGGCAGGGACATACCCAAGTCCTTAAAAATGCTAGTTGTTATTCCCTGCCTCACGTTTAGCATTGAGGGTAATGGCACCAACTGGTTCTCCCGTTGTCAGTATAATGTGACCGGGCGGAATGCTGTCCAGCATACACACACACGTGCACGCTTACACATCACACATGGAGGCACGTCCTTAAATGACCATAGACGTTAATAGGAAGTTAAAAAAAATCAAACCAAATTAAACCAAACCTAAAATAACAAATCGTGTTTGGGACATCTATGATTTTATAACAGAAATAAATGTCTTAATGTGACTTAACAGAAACGGTAAAGCGTATGTTTGTTTTCTTTTCAGGCATCATCTTCAGTTCTGAATGTTTGTCAGCTCTCCTGTGAGTTTGTTAAAATGCAACAGGCACATGCTGATGCAGGGATTGTAAAAGGTAAAGAAGTTTTTAAATGTTTCCTACATTTGAAAGTAACAAGGAAAGAAGCAGAACCTTAATGTCAATAGCAGTATCCATTGATGTTAAAACTTTGCATTGAAATTAAATATACTTCTTTTAAATTCAATACCTTACTAGAGTTTAAATAAATTCTGCATGATACTTTCAATCAACAGTTGGTACAGATTGTGTCATTCATTCGTCCATTCTTGACATTTTTGTTTATTTTAGTTTGATGAATTTCTTTCGGGAAACGTCTGTGATCAGTGATTGCTTGACTTAAGTACTTTTGCTGTTAACAAGGCGTTAAACCGTATAAACCGAAATCCTCAATTTCTGAAATTAGCTATTGACGTAAATCAATACAAATTACTAACCGGACCAAAACACATATGTTAGAAAAACAACAACAAAAAAGGAAAGAGGTAAAACAATTCAGTGTTTAAAAGGAGTGTCTATTTTCAAATCATTACATAGTTTGTTAACGCAAGCTCGTACCAAATTTTAACAAGACATGATGTTGGTAATTAATCCATGAACAGATTGTGTAAGATGTCTACACCTATGTATTCAACGTTAACACTGCATATACTATATTATGACATTTATAGGGCCCTCTTATAAATCATAACTCTGGTTTGTGATTGCATCGTAAATTATAAGCATGTCCCCATACCACAGCATTTTACATAAGCTACTAATGAGCAACGATGCAAATACAGTTTGGAGCAAACTTGGTAGCCAAGTGCACCGGAACTTACTAAAAAAATGTAAACTAGAGATCACAGGCTTGTGCACTGGGCTAAATAGGAGAGCACAATTCTCTTTGTCATAACAATTTTCTGGTTTCCTTTAGTTAGTTTATCTTGTGAATTTCGCCTTGTCGCTCTGCTTTAAACAAAAAAAGAACAAAAGAGCGCTCATTTTTTAAAATATTAGTATATGTATATGCATGGATTTTTGGTTTAAATTTTAGTATATTCTGTCTTATAGCGGGATATATTTATTAGAGTTCGTTTACCGATTAACATCTTTATGCAGGTAAATAAACCCGTCTTATACCTAATTTTGGAGAAATTGTGGCTGTCACACATTGAGGGCGCGTGTACTGCAAATGGTTTAGGGGTCTGACGTCAGATTACATAGACAATTTGACCTTAATATATCTGCAACACCACAGTCGTACCTCAATACAAGTTTCTCAGTTTGTACCTAAACAAGCGTAATGTAAACGTTCCATATAAAATTATCATCTGACCTGGTGAAAATCTTACACTGGTGTCAGACTTTGGGCATGAAATACATGAAAAAGAAAATAAAAAAAAATCACACTTTATATGCGGTGCCAACATGATAGTCGGTGGCACAATTACATGAACCTTTGTTCATCTGTGTTTAATACAATGTACATGGACGTTTTTACATCGTAACATTTCATCCCATATTTTAAATGGACGTAACTCCATCGCCAGGTAAATTCAGGTCTCTCAGATTGTCCACTGTGACACTAATTAAGTGATACTAATTATTCAGCTGAAATAGGTATTTATCTCTTTCATTGTACAAGGTCAGAGATACTGTAGATCAGAAACTCTTGTCTGGTTTTTGACACTTTTAAATTTACCAAACACCAAGGGCTCTCCAGGTTAGTCTGGTGAATGAATAACCTGACTACTCACCATTAACAGACGTTTAAAAGTGCACTCTATTTTGTCAGTAAACCAGTTTTGATCTTCATTGATACATCATAAATTTCTAGGATATTAGTATAATGAAAATGCAGTTATCGTCATCATGATTTCTGAAAGGACATACATAACGTTTTGCACTAGAGTAGATTAATAATACAAGCCAAATATAAAGTTATCTCGGTATAGACACTTGTGAAATAAACTTGTGACTGGGGCTTTCAATTCCTGACCAAGGCACAGGGAATCCACACTATTTTACCTGTAAATGTGTATAGTGTGTACTGATTTACCGGTACACAGCTGTACCTGGTGGATGAAAAATGATTGCCTTTACACAAGGTAACCTTGAATAAGTACAGCCAATTTTAATCTAATGTTACCACAGGCGAAGGGTCAATGAATTCTTACAGCCCATAAATTCTTACAGCCCATATTTGTAGGTAAATTGCATATTAATTGAAAATAAATAAATATATGTCGGTGCGTGGTCACGTTGCCCTAGCAACATTTTGAGTTGCCACTGAAGTTATGTTGGAAATGTTATATTAAAAAATGAAACTATTTTAACTCGTTTTTCACTGAACTAATTTGATGTGTATAACATTTGTACTTACCAATGACTTACGTCATCTTTTAATAAGGGACAGGTCATTACCGCATAGCCAGCTCTATACCTGCTTTTAGGATTACACCTAAGTTGCGGCTCACAGTGAGGCCTAGAGAGGGGGTTGTTTATGTCCGTGTATATAACAAATAAATTGAAATCAAACTAACCGTTCTGATAGTGTTTTATTTTCTTAAATAAAGAAACTCGTATCGATTGAACACATCTTTTCTTGATTTGTTTATGTAAGCAAATTAAACGTATAACTTATTACATATGATGGCAGCTATGAACCAAAAGCAATGCCCGTTATGTATATATAAGATGTCATGTGTATTACACAATCTTTGTTTGCATGCTTTTTCATGTTCATTGACACTGTTCTTGTTCCTATTTTTCATCCAAGGTTAATGAAAATTACACATGCAGTCAGTTTTAAATCATACCAATGTTCACCTCCATATTGTCAGTAAAACTAATGATCATAATATCATAATAGAAAATACAATGCTTCAATTTTGAAATAAAATGCGATGCGAATTAAGATGTTTAAAACTGTATCATTAAACAGTTTCCTTTAATCCATGTCTGGATTTTCTTTAATCACAAAAAAATTGTCCACACTTTTATTTTTTTTGTCACATACCCAATTGAAATAATGAAATAATCAGAAATAATCTGGAGTTCACTACAATGTTAGGTCTAGGTCACTACCTTGTTCATTATATGTTCACTAGATACAACGTTAAGTTTGCTCCCAACTGTAGACTATCGCAATAACTTGACATGAAATATATTTACTTCTTATATCATTATTAAACAATGACACGAGAAAATGCAATTTGAATTTGATCAGCCCATCATCTGATTAAGACGTACCAAAAAACATCTCGGTCATTTACTACAAAATGCTTGAACCAATCTGCAATACCCTCTTGGGCGATGTGTGAATGTTCGTGGGATATAAACTTCTGACAGGGAGAGATATAATAACAAAAGGATATATTTGTCAATTTTGAGGTTTCGGTTTTAGACTTTATTAAAGTTACACAATTAGTGAAATAATGAAAAATAAGATCGAAACTTATTTTAGTGAGTATAATTAACCTAATAACTTACGTTCCATAAGAAGGTCTAGACGGTAGAATGTTCTGTGTGTCATCGCTTTATTGTCTCATTATATATTATTTATGGAGTGTCCTTGAAACGATGTTTCATTCTGCGCGTCTGTTAACTTATACAAAGGTGTACCTCCTCAGTCATACTGGCGCCCTAGTGAGAAGTAAACAATAATAAAACACTGCATCAGTTTCTGTCAACGTGTTGCATTATTTTGCTTATAATTCATACTGGAAATAATAAATAGTTGTTCTGATTTTGTAACAGGTCGCTAGTTAAGTGAGGAATTGTCATTAATCATCATAAAGTTTATTATACACGTGCAATTTTAATATGTTGCTGATATCGTTATGACATTAATAATGTATAGACACATATATGTCAGTTATATTTCATAAGACATAAAACATGCTAACATGCTTGCAGACGAAACATCTCGGATCTCGACGTTTGACCCCACAATCGTCTGTATGTACACAGATGACAGCAAGAAAGCAGGCAATCGCCATGTGTCAACTGTGTATTTGAGGTGGGACATACACAAAAACAACCAGAAAGAATTACCACAGATGCAGTTTGTCATATCCCTGCAGCGGTTCTCAAACATCTCGAAGGAATCTCAATGGGCTTCAATAGGAAAGGTTGCATATTTTAATTAACTATATCGTAACAACTTAACGAGAAATATTGTAACAACTCACACGCGCGCACTGGAATATCTTAATTTCCAATACCAGTTTACATCTATCTTAATATAATTGAAAGGAAAATGGGTTCACTATCTCACATGTACTTTTCTAATTAAAATAATGACTCAACAAAACCACTTGTTTTTTCAGACGAGTTCTTCATTTCTACCGATACAAAATCTGACGTTGAATAAAACCTACCGGTTCAAAGTGACTGCTGTATCAGAGAAGGGAGTGGTGGATGATGCAAAGATGACGCAGTTTATAACAACACTCCCTGGTAAATATATACATCGTATCTTATCCCAGTATGAGACCCTTGGAAATAGCTTATTTTAATGCCTTAAAAAAATTTCATCATATGTACAATTTGTTAAATTTAAGTATACTCAACAAGTTTGATAAGTGTAGAAAATATATTTAATTTGAACACCAAGAGTATATAATTCATAATACTGCGTACGTTTGCTGATTTTGTTAGCTTTTGCTTTCCTAATCACTCAAACACTGTATTTTATGTGTGTAGACAAAATTCTGTAATGATTAAAGGAAAACTCTTATCAAACGAAAAATGCTTCAATAAAAGCTGATGTGTTGTCCCTGTACACCCAATAAGTATATTCAAAACGCTGCCTTCAATGGGAATGCGTTATGGTAAAGCGAGTTAAAGAGAGAAAAAATAATGACAAATTAAGCCTAAAAGTAAAATTCGATTTAAAGTACAATTTTATACCCCGGATTTGATCCAGAAATCTATAAATTCTCGCTTACATAGGATCAATATTGAATTTTATAGGATCAATATTGAATTTTCGGCCGTATACTCTACAGAGCGTTTATGAGACAAAAAATGATCAATTTTCTCATTGCAATATTTTACGGTTCACTTTTCTTCACCACAGGTCTTCACTACCGTGGGAAGACCGATGCAGACATACCACCTCATGCATACATGTACTTATGTAGGCACGTCCGTAAATAACCTTGGTTATTAATATGATGTTAAACGTTATTAAACCAAACCAAAACCACCATCCGAAAGTTATAATATCGAAAGGGTTCCCCTATTCATATATACAATTTGGTGAGAATGAAGATTTCTGTAAACATATGTTAGTGTGACCCTAGTATCTAACATCAAGACACAAAGATGTAGAAATGGTAGGGATAGGTGGCAGAGTACAGTAGAAATGGCTTGACCCTAAAAATAAAGGGCATGTCTCGGATAAACATGGATAGCGGATTCATCCTGCACAACACACCTACATATATATATATATTTATAAACTACATGTTTAATAGGTGTTTTTTAGAAGAACATTTTTTTTTTCAAAAAGCGATTTCCCCAGATTTGGGACTTCTGAAAACCATGGTTACCACATCAAAAAACACCAAAATATGCAAAAAATCATGATTTTTAACCCAGAATTTGACCCCCGCAAGTAGAATTGTTTTTCTTAAAACCTGTCTGAAATTAAATATCGCCTACTCGGTAACAGAAATACTCACGTTTTAGCATAGGTCATTCCGGTGGATTTTTCACAATATTTACACATGTGCTGAGTACAAAAATAGACTACCTGAAAAGCTAGCTTTTGTTGTGTAGACACAGATTCGTAAATGCCCAAAATTGTAGTCTCAAACCAAATTCGACTTTTCTTTTTTTTAAATTATGAAGCCCACATAGTCCACTTCATCATGTATATGCCAATTTTAGTGCTGATTTTTTTTTTAAATTTTGATACATGTTATATTACAGGGGTTATTCATTGTATAAAAATATCACCCATGGCCACCGTACGCTACTGTACTCTGCTACCATAACCAAACATATAACCACATATAAAAAAGGAATTGAGACACCCACTCCATAACCATACATGAAACCCCATGACATAAAAAGATCGATACAGATTTATTATAATAACCACGATTGGTCTTTGAAGCTTGCAACAACCTTAGTAATATAGGGATGTATACGTCATAACACTTAAACAGTTAAGATCCCGACTTAATAGCATTACAAATGTTATTGCTGAGTAATACTGTTAAAACACATGTGCTACCAAGATTTTTGATACGCATGTATAACTAAATATACAGATGAGCAATACAGGCCATTTGACCTTTGTATATTTATTCCTTTACATGGCACTTGCTGTGTACTGATGTGTGTAGTTTTTAAACGTTTACAACTGTACCGTTTAGTTTCCTTTTGGTGACATGACTTCACCGTTGCTTTACCTGGTCAAACAGCATACCTAGTAATTCCCATGAGACCCCGTACAAAGCTCACAGTCGATTTTAATTGGATTCATACATTAACGGACAGAGATACTCGTCGGATATCCATATGTTACTTTGCTATCGAATTTTAAGCATTGCTATAGTGTATCTGCTTACCCTTTATCCCGTAGGACTTGGAGCGAAAGATACAAAATATCAACCCCGTGAGCTTTGCTTCTTGACATTTACATACATAACAACAATATTTGTCACACATTAGCAAAAACTGACGACTTTTGTCTTATGCGGTTTTACTTATATTTCTTGAGTAGCAAAACAGATCTCTCTGGCTGATGGAGTTTACTTGTCGTAATTGGTTTATTACATTCACTGATCCATTTAAGCAATTAAAAAGCTATTGTCGTCATATGCACAGTTATAATGTAACAGAAAACCCCTTTGTAGAAATAAAATATTTATGAAATGCTTGCAATACCAAAAGTCTATGTAGATCTACTAGATAACATATAGATAATGACAAGCTGAACTAATGACGACCGTCACAGGTAGGTCGCATCAATAGAAGCTTTAATAAGTTCACCAACTGAGGTCATGCCAGTGTCATTACATAAATAAGTCTCCATTAAGGGGGAAAATAACGATTCTTAATATTACAAGCGTGCCGTTCGGGTTCCTGGTAAACTTAAGAAGTGAAATAAGGAAATATAAAATATGATGCTTTCTGATCGCTTTTCGAACATTTTCAGCTTTCAAGGGAGGAGGGTGTACCAATGGACAGAAAATGCTTTAAAAAGAGCATAAAGCATTATTTTATTAAAACACCTATTTGCGATTTTATTGTATATCATCAAAATTATATAACGTCACAATATTATATATTACATGATTTATTTGCAATGATTTCTGCCATTAATTTATTATCTTTTAAGTGCAAATTACATGTACAGAGGTATCTATCAGTTGGTACAACCAATTCATTTGCTTTGCTATTCAAGTAATACTTTTGTGAATGGCTAATTTTAGAGTTGTTTGTCTCAAAATGGGCCGCAAAAAATACCTCCCATTCTAATGACATTTCACTGTGACTGAGATCATTAGTAATTGACATATTATGATCGGAAAAGCCACGATGAGAGTAAGATGCCGTGCATGAAAAGCTTACTATATCTTTTCATTTCCTGTTTGCATAAATATATCTTCCTATTGATATCAAGTTTTTTTCTCCCATTACATTGCATGGCAATTTAGCTCACCTGAATGATGACCATGTGACCTCATGTCGTGGTTTGACATCCGTTTTGTCTTCAATTTATTACCTTTACATATAAATGTTTACGTGTCCAGAATGATTTCAATTTGTATTTTTGCATCCTAGTCCTAATCGTTAATTCTAATCATTTTGGACATACCACTCCGTAAAACAGGATATTTACGCAGAAAGAAAAACATCAAACTTGAACAAGGTTCTATAAATAATGCACAAAGTATTTATGGCAAACGAGTTTTTAGTGTAATATATAATATCAAATACTAAAGATCAACTTTATGAATATGATTTATTTCAATGATACGAAAACTGTATTATACAAATGTTAATAGATAGTTTATTATGAATGAGTTTTAAATTTGACAATGGAGTGTGATGTGAACACGGTGTAAAGACCCCCTTGTGGCGGATACGCGGATACACACGCCCAATAGGGATATGTTTCTAGTGTGTGTATTGTCTTTGATCATCAGCGTACATATTATAGGGCTTCAAGTGTACTGCAAGTAAAGGAATTGGTAACTTAATATTGACAAGTCGTTAATCAATTATTGTTGTATCAATGAGTTGTGTGTCTTGACCGAAGTAAATAGTATAAAATAACTAATGTAACCAAGTTACGTCAGTCCAATTTGATAAAGAATGAATATGGAAATGATCATCATTTGTGCCGTACCATATTTAAATATTGTAGTTGTGTTTTTTTTAATGCATGACGACCAATCTGCTGTATGATCGAGACGTATTCGAATTATATCATAATTTCTACCAAGCAAATTTTCCCACAAACATGTTACACATATGAACAACTATTTTAAAGTTCTGAAATCCAGAATCTCGTCCTTTTGGTTTGTATCTGTCATTTGAAAACCTATAACTGTTCTGAGCACAAAACAGACAAAACACCATAGATCAAAAGGAGCTATTGCAACAAAACGCATCAGACAAAAATGGAAGTTCGAGTAGAGGGGATATATTACAATTTCAAGTGATGCATTAGGTGTACCAAATCTATTTTATGTCGATTTCGCGTTTCCAAGAACCGACACAAAGAAAATTCCGAAATCTGCAGCGGTTCATTATAGCCGCCTCTTGCAAATAAAAGAGCAGACTCATGCAGGAGATGTGTTTCGAATTTTATGTTTGTGGAAAAATTTCCAGAACTATTCAAAAATAGAAAAAAAACATACATTTTTGTCAATTTTTTTTCTTTCTTATTTTAGACGACTATGTGCCAAGTCCTCCAGCAAATGTGGAAATTGAAATGCAGACTTACTACAAACAGGCAGTTAGTGCAAAGATCAGCTGGGATGCTGCTAAAGGTAAATCCTATAAACTGCAGAACTATCTGTAGTAAATTGTAATATTAAATGTCTGTTACTTAAAGTAAAATACCTGCAATTTACGTTAAGCTTATATCTATAGAGTTATCTACAAACTTCAAAAGATATTAAATGTCTCAGATAAATTCCATATAATATACTGTTCAACTGTGTCACCTATCAAATGTACTAACAATAATGTTCGTAAAATGTTATGATACAGGTTTCGTGGTGAATATAGTTCTGGAATAGTCTGGAATGATATTTGTAACAACGTAATGTAGCATATACCTTCAGATACATGAAACACTGTGTTCGGAAAATCGGTTACATTAAACTTAATGTAGAGCAGTAAGGGTAATGGCAACAACTGGTTCACCCGTTGTCAGTTTAATATGACCGGGCGGAATGCTGTGCTGTGTGTATTCGGCATGGTATTTCAGTGAGATAGCACTATAAAGTCGGCATCGCGCTATCACAAGGAGGCAAGTGCACCAACATTCCATGTCTCCGGCACACATACACATAAACACACATACACACATGTACGCATCCACAACATACACGGAGGCACGTCCTTTAATGGCATAAGCTGTCAATAAGACGTTAAACGAAATCAAACAAAATCAAACATTGAAAATGTAACTTAGATCGAATATGTCGATAACTAGACGTCTGTCACGAACCCCTTTTTTCTTTGTTCCTATATGTAAACTAATGGAATTACAATTATGTTGAACCCGACCCGTTCTCATATTGCGATTGGTATTGCGAAGACGTTACATAACAATCCCATATATCTGCACTATTGCAAGATGACAAAGCGTCATAACGCCTTCAGTACATATTTCACTCCTAGATATTAATAACCTGAGCAATGAACAGGACAGTGAAATAAAAACAACCGTCAGGGGGCTTGTGTTACTGAAGTAATGTACAGGCAGCTATTATTTCCTAGATACCACACGGGTTTTGCAGCATGGTATTTATGTGAAATAAAACTTTCAAGTACGTATCCCATTTATCCCTCATCTCAAAGAGACAAATACACAAATATACCGCCTCCAACACACAAACGTATATATTATACACAAGGAGACACGTCCTTAAATGACCTTACCTGTTTATACGACACGAAACCAAATTTAGTAACAGCGGCTTGTGTTCCAGTTACACAGTTCGTCCTGGTGACGTCCTTATTTACATCCTTCTATTTTAACATCTGAATATTTGTTTATTATTTTTGGTATGAAAAAAATAGACCCCAAAATCGACTGAAATCGCAAAGTAAATACAAAGTCTAAAACTACAATTTAAGAAAGCTGGATTGCAAAATGATTCAGTCAAAGCTGCATGTACTGATAACTAACAGCCTATTGGTATGAAATTATCATAAATAGATTTAAAATGGTTGCGTGTTGCACTGAAAATATTTGGTAACAAAAATAGTCCGAGTATGCATCAAACATACTCCATATTGTTCCACCTATTATACGTGCACAGTTTCGTTATCTTATAAACAGCTGGAGAGTCTTTCTTCCTGTTTTGTCGTTGTCCAGAGTTTGTATTGTACCATCCATGGTTACCTGCTTACGCATGCAGACCGAGCATAATGCATCGCATGGGTAAACCATTCACTGTTGAACAATGTATGATCAGCTATGATGCAAGATGTTTTCTGATGTTGCAAATATGAACGTTCTCATGATGAAAACAATTATCATAACAGTGATCCTTCAATACATTTATGAAGTTACATCATATAATAATATTTGTTTATTTAAAATATAATCGTGCCCTTTTTATATAATGTTGTGGGTGCTTGTGTTACTTTTTTTGTCGATGAGCCATAATTTTGATGACAATTTGTTTGTCCTATTTTAATCTATGGATATGTAACATATTTCTACCTCAACATTGTTTCGGTAATAGAACAAACCGCAATAATTCTATATGACCTTATACAGTAATTGTTGAATGCTTAAATACAATTCCACGCTAAAGATGGGAATCTTTCAGTTGTTATTGTCAACACATTCAACTTCAGCCTTATATTTGTTTTATTGCTTATACCTATCAGCGGTGGTCCCGGTGATCTGGTGTTTTCCTGCTTGCATCTGTCATATCAATGTCTGTCAAATTTTGACGACCAGTATTCGAGAGATCACAAATGATATGTCATATGAGAGCGACACTGCGATGACGAATGCACAGGTTTAAATTGTAATTAGTTTTTGTTGTTCAATTCATTTCCGCAATTTTTCTTGCAATAGACTGTAGCATGAATTAACAACTATAAAACATTCGTTTATGTTTGAAATAGATATTGTACTTATATGTGTGTCGTTCGTTTTCCAAAACAGATAAGTCCTGCTTCTACAAAATATATTGGCTACCTACGTGCAAGCAGAGTAAGAGGGGAGATTTTGTTGAAGAGGAAATAAAGGTACGCATAAACGTTTTGTCAATTTCTCTTCATGCGCATACCAATCATGACCGAATATATGAAATTACACACGGCAGGACACATTGACCTAAAACAATACATGGGCATCAACTGAAACAATGAGCAGGGAGGTTATATTACTTCAAATAATCAAATAAAACTAGAAATCAGACACCGTTAGATATATTTGGTACAAAGTTTCATATTCAATTTCAACTTTCATCCATTAGTTGAATATTTAGGATCAACTTCTTATTTAAAAATCGATAGTGTGTATATTTATGTTGCCATTGATTAGTATGTATGCCTGACACATCAAACTGTTACATAGTTAAATGTATATATCCATATCTGATAGATAAAAAGCAACAGTTCATCATTACTTTCAATGTGTTATCAACTATATAAGTGTTACAATCATCTTGTAAGTTACCAAAACACCTGGACCCATATTCATGAAACCTTCTAATGCTCAAACATGGATTCATACTTGCTCTAGTCAACTTTCTTGTAACTAGTTTTGAACGTCTGCAAGATCAAACTGACCTTTGCAAAACACTGAAAACGGTATTTGTCTCCTTTAAGTCGGATTTACCAACCACCGGAAAAGGACTTTGGGCTCGGCACAGAATCTGATTTTGAATAGTATTATAAATACGACCCCAGATCCCGAGCTACCTTATAGAAAACTATGGAGAAATTAAATCGGCGTTACGTTCTTGCAATAGCCAAGGTTATACAGTGTACATTTTATGCAAACAGGTGTCGAGCCGGATATGGATCCTCTGTCTTTGAACCTGCACAAAAAAGGTCATTAGAGTCAAGAGCTAGGTTGTCGATAAAAGGTTAAAAATGTACATATCATAAACAAATTCTTTCAAATAATGACTTAAATCTACAACATTGATCAACTACGACTCAGTATTCCTGCTCAGACGAGATTAAAACTACAATATTAGCTGCTTTTATTGAAATTGCAATTAATCCAGAAATGTTACACTGTGGATGACGGGTTACTTATAACCACAACATATAAATCATTATGTAAACACGTGTGCATGCAATTTAAACTTGTTGTTTAAACTATTAATATAAATTAAATTGATACCTAACACACTTATCCATAAGACTTGCAATGATTTATATTCTATTGGACCTGATTTATCGTTTGCACTATACATTTCAACTCTTTCATTTTGAAGCTCACATTAAATGTTATTTACATCAAACTCTCGTTACAGTCAACCTACAACGGCTTTGTATTTTCATAACTCAATTATCCAAACTTTATTTTAATAAATCACATTATAATTCAATCAGTGTCATCTAACAGGCAATTATACGTTTGAAATTTCGTAAAAGTACACACACGTAATGGTGAAGTAATTTGTTTATTATTACGTTGCTCTGCGCTTGGAATAACTCATTTTGACAAAAATGAAAAGTGCATTAACAATGTAGCTACCGGGATTAAAAGTGATGTTTTATACTGGATAACTACAGATCACATTGCAAGTATTGATATTATATTTCTTTTCGGGAGAAACTGAATAACAAATATATTTTTGTACACCAATCTTCATATGACCCTGGCTGTTGCAAGAACGTGAAACTCAAAGTTAACAAACAAAATCAAGTTATTTCAATCATAGCATGTATCTATATTTCGCTGCCTGCGTGCTATTTGAACATACCAAATAATATATGAATATCAATGTGATGCTTGACATACTTTTTCACAGTGACTATCTACGGTGGCATATACACCAACATACCGCTTCGGCTTACACGCATGCATTACACACATGGTGACACGTCCTTAAAAAACTTCGTTAACTGGACGCTATTCTCTAGAACCAGAATACAGGTTTCAATCATTTCCTTATAAATGACTGCGATCTGCCTTATTAAATAGTCTGCATTGTTTTTAAATGTCTGTACACAGATTGAAAAATATTTTGAGACTTCAATACCAGTGTGATCTGCCGTGTATTGCATACAAGTTATAATTATTGACACTCTTGTGTATCTGTCTGGCTTATCCTATGTTCCAGGCTATCACTGTACGTATAGATAGATTACGTACTTCGGGTTCAAGGTTTTTATCTAGAAGGGAAGTAAGTCTGGTTTGCTTCTTTTTATAAAAGGTCGAACCCTATTCCCTTCTCTGATCCTCCCGATGTGGTCTGTTGTTGAATGTGATGTTGCATATTGTCTCTATAATAATTTCTTTATTTCACCGATTATAAATTCATTCATTTAATGAAGCCCTTTTTATTAACCAAAATACAACTTTTACATTAGACGAAAACGCTGTTTGACAGTATGATTGAGCGTTTCGTTTCTGTTCATAGATTGTATAGACCCTTACGTGTGTCATTTTATCCCCTTAAGACTACAGAGACTGTTACAAATAACCCTGGTAATTTCATAACTTGTCGTCTGTATTGCCACTCAGTAAATTACTAAAAGATAATTGTCACGATCTCTAAAGGAGAATACGCTAATTTATAAACACACATCATATGGTATGTGATTTATTTACACATTTCTTAATAAACCGTTTCTGCTACTATCATAACTGTGCTGATACCGAGGAAAATAGACATGAGGTATTCCACTTTATAAAAGTATAGGGAGACATAAGCGGGTCCTATTTGATCGAGGTATTTTCTCCACCACTTCTGTATGATACTGATAATAGTTCAGACCATATTATTGCTCCCTAACGTTTTCAATTTCATCTAAAGCTAAAATTTAAGCCAGGAAGTAGAAGAATTATTGGGTTTACTATGCCGTTAGTTTCCACTCGCAATTTTCATCTAACTGTACCTCATCCTGAAAAGGCATAGATCACGTATTTTAGTGAACGTTACAGTGACAGCAAAGTGAATAGTTTGATAAAAGACAATACCTCATTAACTCGCTTGATATACAGCTATATTTTTAAATATTTGTTTGTCGCCTGTTGACTATTGTGATATTGTATCCTTGTCTTGAAATGAATGTCTTTCTCTCTCGGTCCCGCATTAAACCACACTCTACGTCGCTGTTGTACTATCGGTTTTAATCACTTGTTACATTTTGTGTTGTTTTAAATATACCGCTGGATTTTTTTAAATGTCTCAAAAGGAAGTTCCTCTTTCAAGAAAAGGAATATTTTCTGTCAGTTTGATATTTCATTACTTCTTAACTATTAATTGTGGTCAGGTTCGATATAACTTTACCGTTGCAAGGCCGTTAAGTAAGTAACTAAACTCAACCACTTTCTTCTACTTAACTATCAGACGCTACTCGCTGATATATGACTAGGTTATCACATCATCTGCAGCATAATCAACAAATTATGTTTAACGCTACTAAGCTGATACTTGTTATGTAGCAAGAGTTAAATTTATCACGAGGAGCTTATACTCGGACACACATACGTTTCACAGGAAGATATATATAAAAAAAACTCAATAACTTTTTTTTAACAGTTTTTTTATATTAACATTGCCGGAAGCGTTCATGAAAAAAACCTCAAGACATAATTCATATGCGCTACTGTAGGACGATGAAACGCATCTATTTATTACTGTTTTTATGTTTTAGACTCCTCCCGACTTCGTCTATTGGATGAACAGACTCCAGTTTGATTGCAATTACACTGTTAGTATATACAGTTATCCCACACCAATGTTTACGAGAGGAAGTAAGGTGACCAAGATGTCGTTTCAAACACTTGAATGCCTCAACGCTACGAAATTCAACTACACAGTCTGTAGTAAGTTACCATAGCATGAATTGCTTCTCGTCAACTTCATGTTCACTAAAAGCAAACCACAAATGCATCTATGCATCGGATGCTGGGTTTCTTTCAAACATGTCTTTAGCCTTCATAAATCTTCACATAAATCAATACCTTGTAAACAATTTTTAGTTCACCTGGCCCGAAGGGCGTCAGTCGTCCGTCCGTCGTCCGGCGTCAATATTTTACTTTAAATAACTTCTTTTTAATAACCAAAATGCCTAGAGTGATGATACTTGGCCAGAAGCAAACTGGGATAAAGGGCTACAAAATTTGTTCAAATAAATGACCATCACCTATATTCAAGGTCACAGGGGTCAAATATGTTAAAAACTTAAAACAACTTCTTCTGAATAACCAAAATGCCCAGGGTGATGATATTTAGTCAGTAGTATGCCGGGATGAAGGGCTACCAAGTTTGTTCAAATGAATGACCATGACTTATGTTCAAGGTCACAGGGGTCAATTGTCTAAAAAAACTTAAAACAACTTCTTCTGAATAACCAAAATGCCCAGGATGATGAAATTTGACCAGTTGCATGCTAGGATGTAGAGCTACCAAATGTGTTCAAATAAATGTCATTGAATTATATTCAAGGTCACAGGGGTCAAATATATTTCATTTTAAACAACTTCGTCTGAATAATCAAAAGGGTCAGTATGATAATATTTAGTCAGTAGCATGCTTGGATGAAGGGCTACTCAGTTTATTTAAATTAATGACATTGAATTATTTTCAAGGTCACAGGGGTCAATTGTCTTAAAAAATCTTTAAACAACTTCTTCTGAATAACCAAAATGCCCAGAATGTTGATATTTGGCCAGTAGCATGCTGTGATGAAGGGCTACTAAGTTTGTTCAAATGAATGACCTTGAATTATAGTAAAGGTCACAGGGGTCAAACATGTTTAAAATCTTTAAACGACATATTCTGAATAACCAAATTTCCCAGAATGTTGATGTTTAACCAGTAGCATGCTTGGATGAAGGGTTATCAAGCTTTTTTGTTTGAATGCCATTGACCCACTTACAAGGTCACGTTTGGTCAAATATGTATACACATTTTAATGACCTAATCTCAATAAACAAAAGGATAGGGTGGTGATATTTTGCAAGTTGCATCCTGCATTGTTCAACGTCATGACCTTGTTCGACTTTCAAGGTCACAGGGGTGAAATGTTTTAAATCTTTTAACAGGTTCTTTTGAATGACTTATAGTCATAAATACTGATAATGTGCCTGTAGCTTTATTTTTGATCACTTTTGAGGTTACAAGTGTGAGATTAATACCAGGTGAGCGATGGAGGCCTATTGGGCCTCTTGTTTAATTATCAAGATGAATACAAAAGTAAATAACAAAAGCCTTCTTCGTGTGACAATCACACGGGAACAGACCAAGATTTGAATCCTGGGCCATTGATCATTATACTGTCGCTTTAATCAACTGATATACTGGTCACTGGTGGCTCCCTGGCCTGGTCGCGCTACAGATATATCCAAAATGCATGTACAAAACTTACAAAGGGATTATAGATATGTATGTATGCGGTGGAACAGGGATCCTTAATGTGTTGACAATTTATTAGTCATAGGTGACTAATTTCGTTGATTTATGCTTGGTTTCTGCCTTCATATAACACTACATATAATCGACCTGCCATATTGTTGCATATTTACATGAATTCCCTAACAACTTATTAAGCGGCAGCCAAAAACTCTACGTCGCTTTTATAACTGGATCATGTTACGTTAATTGATAGCTTAACCAAAAATACCTTAAGAAGAGGACATGTGTTTTAACTCAGCAAGGAAATCGTGTGCAAGAGACAGAAATAGAACATTCCCGAAAAAAATAATACCATTACCCATTTAGAGTAATGGCAATAACAGGTTTATTGTTTTCAGTATAATATGACCTGGTCAAATACTCTAGGTGCCTTCGGCATGGTATGTAGAGAGGTAGCACTATACAATCAGCTTTGGTTTGGTTTGGTTTGGTTTTATTTTGTTTAACATCCTAACAGCTAATATCATTTAAGAACGTGCCTCCATATTTGTGTCGTATTATCGTTTCTGCCTCCTTGTGATAGTGCGAATTTGATGTTGACTTTAAAGAGCTATCTCACTGAAATACCATGCAGAAGGCACCCAGCAAAGCGTTCCGCAACATTATACTGGCAACGGGTGAACCAGTTATTGCCGTTTCCCAAAGTGCTGAACGTTAAGCAAGGAATGACAACAATCATTTTAAGGACATTGGTTTATGGCCCAGCATGGGGACAGGTAGCGAGTGCATTCATTCTCGAACCCCGACATACATGGATATATAAAGTCAGCACCAGACCCGCACCGTCGCAAGGAGGCATTAACACCAACATAACCTGCCTCCAGTACACATACATGGATTTACACCCTTAAATGTCAGTAGCTACTAATAGGACGTCAAACCCTATACATAAACCAAACCCTAGAGACAGCGTATCGTACAAGACTGCAAACAATGTTAAAGACAGCAACCATTATTGTAAGTAACAGTGTTGTTAACTAGGTCAATTACGCCTTATTTTAGTGTAAGAAAAATAGAGTTGTGTGACTGCACACCTCACTTAAAATAGCGTGCGCACATCGTGTAGCGTTGTTTGATCAAACAACTGTATGCTATCCATAGAGTGATTAACACAATTAAATACATTAACAATAGTATAGAACTGTTTCCATATCCAGGTAACCCTACTAACTTATGGCGTAGTATACTAAAACCTTGATTACGACCAAGAAAATCGACAGGAGTATTCAAAGAGTTTTAAAAAAGAACACTCGACACAATATTAAGACGACATAATTGGTAAGGTTGAACGCTCAACAATAGCAAGTGCATTCAATACATAACCGTATCCATATGATTCATATCAATTACATTCGGACCATAAAAAACATTCAAAAGTATTTGAATTTTTTCTTCGCGTAAAAAATGTATTTAAAATTGATTCCGACATGATTGTCTGGTTCATATTGTGCATACGATGTATTGTTTAACCTTTTTCACAAAGTGAGAAATATTGTATCATTATCTGAAAAGCAGCGAGTCTTATTATGTAAAAGTTTGTTGTTGTTTTTATAAAATCCAGCGAGTCAATTTCGGAAGGCATAGGTAACGGGCTAACGATTCAAAGTTTACTGTAGTTTAGGTAGGGAAATAACCCTTTTTGGTAAATCTATTATTAGTGGGAAAGAATTCAAAATGTGTGGTAATTATCATAATGTGATGCAGCCCATTGTGCCTGGGGGCGAGGACAAACAGGTTTAAAATGGCAAAACAACACTGCAGATCTAGTGAAGCATATCGGAAATTGCTACAATACTTTGTATATAAAAACCTTCTTTTCCATCGCTTGCTTGCTTTTAGTGTCTTTACACACCTTTTATTTCACTTCATTGTCCCATAAAACCTAATTGTAATAATGAAATAATTTCTATAGAGTTTAACCCTTCAAAAATTAAGCAAATCAATCATTCAATGTCTTCTGGTGTATCAAGCCTTGGAAATGTCCCTCATTTTTATTGTAAGTCCAATATGACGTCTCCGTTGACGGGATGTTAGGAAACCAGGTAACCATAGGAAATTAAATATGTATCAAAGAAATATGTTACAACAATTCATATCAATAGAGAAAAAGAAGTCGTTCGGCTATAGTATTATCACTTTGATATATAATATGTGTTTTATGAATTATGACTCTGTTGCAGAACCGGAAGAACCACAAAACATCTCTGCGACAGAAAAAGAACCGTACATGTCAGACGGACTTCCGAGAGGAAATACAACGCTCGTATGGGAAGCACCACCTCATGTCGGTCCAAATAACAAACTGACAGGTTATATCCTTGAGTGGTCCAAAGAAATCCCGTTACATATGGGTCCGCTTGTGGATCCTGATAAAGGCAGCCTTACACTGTTTCCGGTTAGTCTGCTTTAGATGTAATTGTTAAGGTTATCATAATACTAATCGAGTTAGTTAGGCTTTGCCAAAAGTGGGTATGTTTTATTTTTATTTGTTAAAGCTAATTTGATATTCATAACAATATTAAATTAGTTATACAAATATACATATCAATACGAGTAAACATTTTTAAGAACAATAAACATTCTGACAAAGGTTAAATATCAAGACTATAATGAATTTGTGCGAATCAATAACACGTTTTTTTTTATTATTTCGTGTTTCTTTTAGACAAAAAAGTATCTGTTTCAGACCCTGTTTACCGTGTGGTGAAACAAATGTCAAAGTATTGAGGCATTGAACATTTAATTAACTGGTTATTTATTAGACTTAGATTTAAAACATCATTTGTATCTTGAACAATTTTTATACAGGTGAATTCTATGCTTACATCAGTTACCGAATGTCTCTCCACAGAATCAGTCCAGTTTTATGATAACGGAGATGCACTGGAGTAGTAAATACCGGATACATATCCGTGCTACATCTGTGGGTGGAACAAGTGACCCCATAACTACATTTGTCGACCTCGGTAAGTTGACAGTTACACAAAACTGGTGATAACACCTCGTAATATAGAAAGCAGATCGGGAATTGTTTTCCTTGTCTTCTATGTAAGGGAAGAAAACAAGAATAAACCTGTTTTATCCCACTGCATGTGTATCGTAAATGGCAACGTATAGTAGGTCCCTGAAGAATCGGGGCTTTTCTCCTGCGTCTTTTGCAAAAATAGGTTATACACGGGATGGGAGGAATGCCATTCGTGAAGTCCCTCTCCTTCGACCTTCCGTGGTTTGACGTATCCTGCATAGCTCTCAGGTCAATCTTAACGACTTAGCCTTTCGACCATATTTTGGATGATTTGTTGCAACTAACCGTTTGGTGATATAAGTCCGCCCCTGCAGGTTGGGGTGTGAAGTGGCCAGCTCATCTGTGATCACCATCTTCATATGAAATTAGCTTTTGCGAAAACACAAAAACCTCAACAAACAAAAATGCAATTCAGCTTGAAATTTCCGTTTATTCGATTTTTTAAACATTATCTTAATGGATTCAACGTAAATTGGGGATCTCCTCGGTGTCTGGTGTCGCTTGATTTCATTGCCTGTGCGTACATAATCACGTTGTAGTGTATTTCAACATCCGTTTAGCTCTAATCAATATGGCCTTTTCTACCAGTCTGGGTTTGTATGTACGTCCTTAAAAATAAGGTCATAAACTTGACAATTACTGAATGTTGTATAACATGTCTCATTCCTCACATTTTGCGCATTGTGCTGAATGCATCATGATATGTGATAAAGGTAAATATAACGCTACGAACCAAAAGTATGATTAAAACAAATATTTCTATAAGATGAATAATTTGGACTTTACAAATGTGAAAGTCAACATTGATTACAATATATTTTGTATGGATATTTAAAGACATGTGGTGTTGGTCTAGATTGACAAAAAAAAAATATTGTGAAAGAGACATTGTTTAGCGCTTCATTAGAACATAAAGGTTTTAATGTTAAAAATTAAAATAGAAAATAAAAACGAAAACAAATGGTGATAACAAAACAGGTACCGTAACATTATTATGTTGGCAGTAAGTTAGTTTGCAAATAAAATTATGTTGGATGTTGACCGTATATTTACTAGTCTTAGACTACCGCTGAATTCGGTTTTACATCCCTGTATCTACATTTGTAAGACGTAACACTTCAGTGTGCCCGTGCTGTCAAGGGGTCGTTGAATCCCCAAATGGAATCTACGGTGGTAGACGACGAGTGTTGATCACTCCCACGTGTATATACCACAGACGATTGATGACAACACTATGCAAGTGTTTACTGTGCTGGAAATTAATGTCATAATTCAGTCATGTCAATGTTATCTACATCACTGACTAGAGTTCAACGTAATGAATTTCACGACGCCTTTTTGTCCGTTATACAGGTTGATCCGCATTTTGAAAGTACAGGTTTGGACTTATTTTATATGATGGTGTATTTGGATGTATTGCTGACGACAGTTCTTTGTATATCCTAACTATATATATTCAAAACACAATGATCAGCCAGCCGTAGTCAGATGACTTGTCTTACTTCATTTATTCCGGTAGGTGCTGTAGACTACAATGATGAGCTTAAGAATTCAACGTCAGCCATGGTTCTTGATTTGTCCGGTATGTATAACATTGGTGTTTCATAGTTCTTACTCCAAAGGGTTGATTATTAGGTACGTATCTAGTGGACTATGTACGTGTAATTTCTGACGATTTAAAGATACAATGTTCAGATAAACTGATAAGATACAATGTGCTTACTCGTTTTACGTTGATAATACGTTTTATTTTCAGAAAATAAGGTTATTATTGGTTCTACTGTGGCTGTTGTAATAGTCATCCTGTCTGTGGGAATTCTACTTTGCCGTTACACCAATCGGCAGAAGCGTGCATTTCGGGTACAACGGACCATAAGAACTGAGGTAGGAATGAAATGCACTTAATTTCTACCTGGCCCGAGATGCCAGATGAGCTTATCTCCTAGATAGGGAACCCAATCTTTCCTTTAACATCCTACGTAAAACGACTGATTAAATTTTGTATAAATATGATCTGGACAACAAAAGTGCGAAATGAGAATATGTACTTCTATCGGCAAACGGTAAGGCAACATTAGGGCAAAATAGTTACATCATTATGTAAACCGAGACAGGAATCCCTTCAATCTGGCAGGAGCGGGGAATAATAAGGAAAAGTAAAGTTGTTCTGACACGTACGGCTGGATGTTTCTGATCAAATAGTAGAACATGCTTGAGCAACTGTCTAAATTAAAGAGTATAAAGATCCCCGTTAAAATATCCATATGCACCAAAAGTGGTCATGCTCCTACCAAGACTGGCGCCGGGGTCACGCCCCGCCGCTGATACAGGTGAACGATGCAAATGTTTTGGAACTCTTGTTTAAACACGTATAAGGGCAACAACGTGTCGGTGTTTAATACAACGTACGGTAAATTACGCACTAAATCAATCCCCACTGATAATTGAGAATACTCTTTTAAAAACAAATATGTCATTTTCCTAGGCTATACACAATACGACGTTACATTTTAAAAATGGTAATTTACGCTGTTATTTCCCGTTTAACTGAATCGGCGCAAAAACGTGCATGCAAAACAATAACACTTTTGCAGCAGTTCCCATACTTAGCTTTCTTTATATCTAAAACGAAAATATGTGTTTTTGTTACAGGAAACAAATCCACTTTATGACAATGCCTACGCAAGCAACGGTTGTGGTGTTCCTATTATTCTCGACGAATACGAGGTCGACTTTTTAATGCTGTCTCTCTTAAACACTTTGGGCGAAGGTGCGTTTGGTAAAGTTGTCAAAGCAGAATTATCAATCCCTGGAAAAGACGGAAAGGAGGAAAAGAAAGTAATCACAGCTGTGAAGATGTTGAAAGGTTCTTATTACAATGATATAACACTTATTACTTCAGAACGGAAACCACATTTAATTTGATTTGATATTAAAGGAAAATAAAGACGCCAATTTTGTTCATGTATTACTCATTAGTTTTTAGATGTATAGATATAAGATATAAAAGAAAATTAAAGTATAATGTGTGTCAAAATTATCTGAAATTGATTATTTAGGAGTAGTTGCCTATTTGGTTATGTTATTAGGTGATGACTCAAGTCTACGGTAACAATGATTGCTTGAGTGATACTAAGTTAGTTTCCCAGACGCCATGCAAGAATAAATCTCTTAATCGTGTGCACCCCCGAGGTTGACCTTTTCGGGGTTGTTAAGCTGATGACATGCAGTGTATTATTCAAAACCAAAAAGGTGTGGTAATAGACATAGCTGACCTAATGATTTGTTCTATAGAAATGACAATAAGGTTTATTTAATAGATCACCCAGACATTGTTGAAAGACGAAGCCTTTTAAAGGAGATCGAGGCGATGAAACAACTCGGGCATCATCCTAATATCGTCAGTATTATTGGATGCTGTACGAAGAGTGATAACCATACTTGTCTGATAATGGATTACTGTCCACTTGGGGACCTGCGGCAGTACTTACACCGACTTAGACCACGGGTGAGTTAGATGATAATTATATATGTACTTACACCGACTTAGACCATGGGTGAGTTAGATGATAATTATATATCGACGTTGCCTCTTAAAGCGAAAACATTACTCGAAAGGACAATGGTTATAGACATTTTACGATCACTAGATACTTTCTATTAAAACCCAAACAGCAATACCCCCACCTCACTATTTATTGGTGTGTGGAAGTAAGTAAAAATAAACTATTTAACAACAGTTATGAAACAAGTTATTTCAACTAATCCTTATCACTCCTGTTGGCCCAGAGTTAGCGTGTGGGGTCGTATTGTTGGAGGAAACCGGCGTTTCAGGAGAAAAACCCACGTGGCTGGGCAGGTAACCCTCTATCTTTTCACGTCCACGATCGGAAAACAAAACCCGGACGCCTTGACGAAAGGCAAGTGCGCTATCCACAGCGCAACCCTCCGTTAGTAGGAACATTGTTTCAATCTCAAACTTCATATGTACGTCCGCCTTGTTCAGTTCAGTAGGGGGAGGGGGGTCCCACATAAGTTGCTTCTTAAGGTACATGCAGTGGGTAACGGCAGGGGTATTCTTTTTTCGATCCCGACCTGCAGGGAATTTGCTTTTGTGCCCTCTACTTGGGGACACGAATGCGACCGAAATAAATCTGTTGAACCCATTAAAATATTTGGGATCTTTATATTTCTTTCTACTTCGGACTACCTTTTATTTCCTATCGCCTTCCTTAGGCAAGACCTCACCTTTTGCTTTAATGTTGAACGTTCGACCTGGTGAGGAAGGAAAAGTGATAAAATGGTAATTGTTTTTCCCTGCTTCACGTTCAGCATTTTTTGGGAATGGCAACAGCTGGTTCACCCGTTGTCAGTAAAATATGACCGGGCGGAATGCTGTGCCTGGTGCATTCAGCATGGTATTTAGGTAAGGCACAAAATTCGGCATCAGATCCGCGCTATCACAATGAGGCAAATACATCAACATACCCTGTATCCGGCACACATAAACATCTCTTTGTAGATCAACAAAACATTGCGTTAACAAAGATAAATGTGTTTTGGCATCTTTAATAAGTTTGAAAACGCATGTATATTTCAATACGAAAGTATATTGATACTGTCTATTTCAATTATTCGAGTTTTGTTCTATAAAGTTTATATAACAAAGTTCAACAAAAGTACTCAAATATTTTTTGGTTGAACGATTTTCGTTTCTCTGTTACAGACTCAATATCAAGCTAGCTCCATGTCCAGATACGAAGATAGTGGCATGTTCTCAAACATAACAGAGGATACAAATGGTAAGAATTTCAAACAAATATGACTGAGGATACCAATGGTAAGAATTTCAAATAATGTACACCGTGCATATTTCGATGTCCTAGCCAATCCCCGGCGAACATGTCTACCATTGACAAGGTACACTTGCTTGTTCAGTATGATGAATACTGTATCAACGAACGAAACCAAATGCTACAGTTTGTATGATATGTTAACATAATCTGCTGTCTCTTCAATCAGAAACACAGGAAAACAATCCCAGCAAACCCCTCACAAAAAAAAGGATTTAGAAATAGCTCATTCATTCCTCTAAACGGTATAGGACATGTATAGGCAATTATCTAATTAATAAATGTCCAAATACCTCAACAGTTGAACTCTAATACACTTAAAGCAGGTCACTGCGAAGAGGCCAGTTTATATTATTTAATACGGCAGAGAAAGTGTAACGTCCCAGTTTCTGGGACAATTAAAATGTTCTCCTGAAGTCTTGTAGATGAATTTACTTTGATCGTACTTCCACTTTGATAGTCGATGTTATCTTTAATTGATAATAATCGGGGTGGGGGATTCCGATAAAAATCGATTTAAACGCTCTTTGAGACCGTCGGTGTTGATTATAAAGATCGGCCGTAGTTACCTAGCACTGGTCGACGTAGTTCAGACATACAAAATCAGGAAATAATTACCAATATGTATATCAGAAAAACATACTAACTATACATGTGACTCTATTTAGGTAAAAAAATCATCTATTTACTAAAATAAATGAAAGATAATATTGCATTGCGAAAGCCTCTGCGGACAAAAGAACGATATGCGATAATATTTCTTGTTTGATCACACAGAATCTGACAACCAGCCAATAACACAGGCCAAGTTATTGTCTTACGCGCGGCAGATCGCAATGGGTATGGTGAGTAGTTGTATATTTCTTGTGTGACATAACGAATTCCATATCATATTACTTACTTATATGACTTTAATGTTATTCTTGTTTATATGTATAAAAGGATTTTAAATCAAATCTGTATAAAACGTTTGCATAGAAATCTATATTGCATTACACAGAGAACTCGAGGTGGCCTTTTAGCCAATTAACATGTTTTTAAACTACATAATATCACTGTAATGAGTTTTTTATAATATAGGATATACTTGTATTGGCTTTCTTTAGGAATATCTGGCAGAGAAGAAATACGTCCATCGAGATCTGGCTGCTAGGAATATATTAATGTCTGATTTTGATCGTCTGAAGCTTTCTGATTTCGGCCTTACACGTGATGTGTACGAAACTAATATGTACCAGCCGACTTCAGCGAGAAAGCTTCCTTATAAATGGATGGCCTTAGAGGCAATCTATGACCAAATCTTCACAACGAAATCCGACGTGTAAGTTGTTATGGTGTTTTTTTTAGCAGTTTTAAGATCAAGTTTAGACAAGTTTAGTTTACACATGTAGTACCATCATTTTTTAATAAACTCATTTTAAATCCTTAAATGAACTTTAGCTCAATTTGATCATATTATATTATAAAAACAAGTCATTTCATATGTTATTTGAGTGAATTTAGAAAAAAGAAAAGCAAGACTGTAAGTTTTTTGTATGTTGTATGCTCTTTTTATCTAGGTGGTCGTTTGGAATTGTTCTTTGGGAAATTGTGACCTTGGGAGGTAGCCCATACCCGGGCATTCCAAATGAGGATTTGTTTCGGCTGTTAAAGGATGGATACAGAATGGAAAATCCAGGAAACTGCAGTACTGACATGTAAGTAATTTGGGCTATGTGAAGTCGTACTTTGTGAATGTGCACTTGAAAAATATTTTTATTTATTCTAGCTTAGGTACAGGTATAGAACAATTCAATGCAGGTGCAATTTGGATCAAGAGATGGCCTTGTGCTGCTGTAAACATCTAATAAAAAAGGCGTCAGTGATTAAAGATAATTCCCTTGTAGCCAAAAATTAGTCCCTCTTCCATAATTGATATTAACTAGCTGGTGCAGGTTAAAATCACGTCGTTCTCGCCTGTCTCCGGAAGGCTTATACAACATTACGCATTTCTATTTATTAAAATACGAAGACCAGCCGCAACGCATAGCATGTCACGAAAAATTTACAGTAACACTTTACTTGCTAGATTGCATTAACCTTCAGCAAACACCTGGTTATTCTACAGAAGTATAAATATGTCTTCAATCTCTTTTTTAAACCGTAAATTCGTCTTCAATTCTAGCAAACCTGAGGTCTGCTTGTCAGTTCCAGAAGACATTATTAACCATATGCACTTTTAGTATTCTTATTAACATCTATCGATTCTTTTTCATCTGTTTGACTCATATCTACTGGCCCTAGTGACCTGTTCCGCGTTGACGGGTCATTAATTATGTAATACAAATAATGCTAGATCTTCTATGTATAGAATAATCTGCCATGACCGGGCGAGATGCCATATGGGTGCCGTCGGCACCGTTTTTCTGTTAGATAGCACTATAAAGTCGGCATCATATCCGCGCTATAACAAGGGGCAACTACACTAACAAAGCCTGCGTCAAGCCGCACGCATGCATGCATTACACACATAGAGGCACATCCTAACATGAACGAAGTTTTTGATGAGACGTTAAGCCTTATATCTAGCCAATACACTTGTTATCAAAAGAATGACCAGTAAGATGTTTCAGATCAAGTTATACTCTGACAACTCATGAACTATATGTTATCATAACAATACATCAATAATGTTTTTCCAATTAATTTATTAATGAATCCACAGATATCAAATAATGTTATCGTGCTGGCATCCGAGACCCCACAGCCGTCCTTCCTTTGCTGACTTACGACAAAAGCTGGAGGCTATGCTGGAAGTTACAAAAGCCTACATCAATTTGTCTGTTTCTGTGTCTGACGATTACTACCACTCCGACTCATTCAGGTAGCTATTTTACATGTATTGCTAATTCTCGCAACAAAACATCCACTATACACCAATTATTTTCGCACGCACGTAAACCGTTCTGAATAAATCCAAATGAAAATTCGTGAGATTGTTCTCAGATTACGCACATGCGAAATCGACTACGTTCTTAGGTTGCCCTTCTACCAGCAATAAAACCTTTCACACCTGCCGTGCTTATTCAAACTTACCTTTCTGATTTAATAACATGCCACTATTTTATCATTTCTTCTTTTAATTGCATTTCTGTTCAGTTTTTAAACAATTAACCATTTTACCTGATTTATTTGGTCTACTGCAGTTTATTTCGAGTTATTCCCTACCTGATTGCCGTCTACTCACACACACCTGCGCACAATACGAAAGATAGAAATATTTTGAGAACTGCTCTAAAATGACGATTACAATGACGAGAGTAGTAACAATACTTTTTAATATATACGTCATTTACTAAGAAAACCGCTGAGACGAGGTCGCCTTGACCATGAATGGCTCTTTCATACATTACTCACTCGTTTGCCTCAATGCATAGCATATCACGAGCCATTTACAGTAAAACACTTGTTATTGTATTGCTTTCAGCCTGCAAAAGACAATCTTTGTATAATAATTTCAATAACATAACAGATGTTGAATCAATTTCGAAATAGTAAATAGATCTACAGTTCTAACCTACCTAAATATGTTGATATGTTCAAAACGATATAATTAACCTCGGCCACTTTAATTTCGCGTTTCTCTTTTACCCTTTTGTTCGTTAAAAGACATATGTTAGGAATCAAAATTGAACGATGATGATACCATGAAATCGACGTTTTAATCACCACCTGTTTGTGCTATATATATATGTACGTGTGTGGATGGACGGGTGTGGTACTAAGTACTTAATGCACACTCATAAAACTGAATGTGGTATTGATGCTTCGTTTGACAACAATAATAATAATAATGATTCGAGGTTTTTATATATCGCTTTATCACAACCTAGTTCGTAGGTCTTCTCAAAGCGGTTCAGAAATAAGTATCCGTTGTTAAAGGACCTTTGCAACCTGCCAATAATTTTCTCAACTTCCTGGGGAGCATACAGCCGGTGCTGCCATTTCGGCACTCACAGCTAGCATTCAACAATTCTAGTACACCCCAATTACGTACTCATTTACAGCTACAAATCATCTCTGAAGAACGCAATTAAACATCGTTTATATGGATATAATAAACTTAAACGTTTTTATTACATGTATAATGATACAGACAGAGTGTAGCTTAGCCTGTAATGAGGCAGATGTCTTCATAAATATAATAGTCCGACGTTACATAGTATAACATGCTAATCTCTTTAGCAACCAAACTGACTGGTACGAATGACACATTATCTGAAACTGATTTATATAACTGGGTAAAGCGGAGCTACATATCCCCATGAATGTGAAACCGGGGTCGTATTTTCTAGATTAAGATATTAACGTCATATAATGTGTCTTGTCATTTTATAAATATGATGATACTTTCTATTTACAACATTTATAATATATCAGTCTCATCCATAAAAACACTAAGTGTTACGAAGTGACGCATGATCTATAGTTTATTTGTTTATCTACTTCACCCAACAAATATACTTTTATATGAAGTTATAATAAGTCACCAAAAATTAAATAATTGTTTTGTTAAGACCGGCTTGAAGCCTATTGTTTTGAGCGGAGTATGCTTGCTAAAGAGTAATTTCTCTTTACGTGTATAATAGTATAGCATTGCTTCTACATAAGCTGCCATTTCGTAACATCAAGTTTGATTATAAAAAAACATGGTAGGTCATAATGTCGATTAACAATATTTATGAAGAAATCCGCATTAATGCCTTATTTCAGAATAAACTGAATTAGTCGTATATTATTTTATAACTTAAGTTAACGGTAATATCTACAAATACATTGCCATCATGTTAGGGAGCCTGTTGACCTTAAATAGATACTAATTTTGTTTTCAATCTCCATCTCTGTTTCAGCAGTAAAGATGAGCAAAAGAAAACGAATTCGTTTAAAGAGGACGATTCTGAAATATCCTACCTTGAACCAGAAAAATATGAAAAACATCCGATGTATAATAGAGATGTCCCGGAAACTGAACTGCCGTCTGGAGGAGGATACCACAGCGTGGCTGTAAATGAACGGAATGATGGCCTACAGCACGACTTGTGTAAATCAATGTGTCGATTCTGTAACATTCCTATGAGCCCGAGGGCCGATTCCAAGCTTTTATCTGACTGGTCATCGAATCTGTATGAAGAACCTATATCCTTGCTGCTTCACTCTGTGCATCAGGATCTAAACGGGAATTAAGCAGTGAACCTTAGATCGGGATGCTATCCTTTAGGATATCTCAGGCTGTGATACAATACGTCCATTGGGGGGATTTTTTTTATATCATATCGATAATGTTTGAAGCTCATTGGCTTGTGATATTTGGTTCACAGTTTTATTTTTTTAAGAACATTAATCAACATGTACAGTAGGACATTTAATGGTCGACAATATTTTTTAACCATCTAAGCAGACTTATTTTCCTTCTTGACATTGATGATAAAAGGTTATATTGTTGTTTGCTTTTTCCGTTTTTGTACGTGGAAATGTTTACAATTGAATAAGAATATATCTTTTACCATTGAATAAGTTTATATCTTTGACCGAGTTTTGTTGATAGACTGTCTGAAACAAAAAGATGACTGTACATAAAATAAGATTGAAGGATTTTTACTTGTATTAATGTATGACAAATATATTTTGCAATTGTTTTTTTCCTTATGATTTGTACATATGTTAATTCTTAAATCCCAATACTATTTGAAGATGCAACAAGCAATGCAATTTAAGTTAGTCAGCTGGGAAATGTGAAGAAGACAACACAAATTCGGTCCTGATGCAAGATTTGTATCGATAGAGCAAGCAAAATATTTTATCCTTCCGTTTTCCAATAAAATAGTTGTTGTTGTTGCTCTGCTAAGGGACTCGGTAAAGACCACAATAATATCTGCTGCAACCATATCAACAGTTTGGATATTTATATTTCCTCTCCGCTTCATGGAAACAATTGTTTCGTAACACCTTACTTAGTAAAACATCAGTTATGGCTTAAGTATTGAAGGGTCGCCCGAGTAAGGAAAAAAATAGATCCATTTGTATTCATTGAAATGCAAAGAGAAGCCTCAATTCATGGGATGTAATGAACCATTAATAGTAAAGTACTTGCTATTAGATTGCAGTGACCCTCAGCCAACAAAGGATTTTTTTTAATAATATAGCAGATCTTAAATCTCATTTTGAAACTGTCAATATCTCTACAATCCTTACCTACCTAAAATTGTTGGTCTGTTTCAAAAGATATAACTAATTATAACCATAGAAACTTTCACATTTCAAATTGACGTTTGTCTTTCACCTTTTCGTTCGTTTGATGTTATTACCTATAACATGGTTTTTTTACATAATCTCGGTTCAAAGGACCTCCCTAATGTTGATGGGCCGTTGAAATCCAATAAGTCACTAATTTACATATCAAAGTCCGTAAACTTGATAGTTCGTATTTTCCGTTCAATGTTAATCATTTAGAGTAAAGGCAATAATTGGTTTAAACCGATGACAGTTAAATATGACTGGGATGAAAATGCATTAAAATCGCCTCCAGCACACATACTTATATCATGCACGCCAACAATTAGCACACGGAGACGCGTCCTTAAATTACCGTAGCTGTCAATTGGAAGTAAACACCTTAAAACCAGTAGAATGATGATTGATTCAAGGGTCCCGCATTTTTCAAGAACCTTTTTTTAGGATTTCAATGGCTGTCACATACTGTAACTATTTTCTATTTATATCTGAGACGGTTCAGACTTTGACATATTGCCTTGATAACATTTGTATTTCATAGTTTATATAAAAAAAATAACGGATTTTCCTGAATCTAGTCACAAAGGTTTCAGACAAAATCTCCTGATGGACACATACTTCAGATACAAAACCAAATATGAGCTCCGGACTACCAGAGTTCGGGTCAAAGGAGTTTCACTGTTCACTTAAATATCATTTCCAGTATGAAATTAGTGCATATTTATCTTTTCATTTAAACAGAATTCCATAGTACAGTCGTATGTACATATAGATTGATCGATAGATGTAGAACTTCAGACAACAACGTGTACACATTCAAATGTCAATGTATTTTAAAAAAACATATGACTTCGAGAGACGAACAGACTCATGCCATTAAACTTTAAACGATTAATCTAAAATTCAAAATATTTATATTTCTGGACCGATCAACTGATCTCATAAATACTTCAAGCAATATATTACAATAGGACTATTGAAGTCAGTCAAAATTCTCAACATCGTGATCAACAGGTTGAGACATGCATTTCCGGTTTAAACAGTATATTTCTCTCAAGAGCTTTCTTAAATATATACCTAGATGATATTAAACAGGGACAAATTAAAAACAAAACTGCAAAAAGGTCCTCCGAGTATTCATAGCGAAATATCTCGTAACGATTTTTAATATGTGAATCGCTATTGAGGCACCCTAGTGTATGCATACATCTATATATTCATAAACATAGCGTGTAGCTAATCTGGGGATTGACGAGTGGTGTGTTAAATGTGTGTAATGTTGTCGAGAAATGTAATAGTTAGAGTAATGACGCCAAACTACGGACACCTTATTCACGGCGCATTATGACGTTGTATCCAATTGGTTTTTATGACGTCATCTATATATGAGCTCATCTATTTGAATAAACAACAATGAAGTAGAGTCGTATTCCGGACCTCATTTATAGCAAACCAACACAACCATAATCTAATACATTGGTGCCGTGACCAGAATGTCGGAAATTTTTATTGTTAAGTGTACATACATTTGAACTTGTATATTGAAGTATTATTTAAAACCATTCTGTGGCCCCGAGGATGTCGAGAAATTAAATAGTTAGAGTAATGGCTCCAAACTACGGACACCTTATTCACGGTGCATTATGACGTTGTATCCAATTGTCTTTTATGACGTCATCTATATGTGAGCTCATCTTTTTGAATAAACAACAATGAAGTAGAGTCGTATTCCGGACCTCATTTATAGCAAACCAACACAACCATAATCCAATACAAATGTCCTGTTGCACAGTTATAGAAGTACCCAGACTTCTGCGACCTTTATATAAAACGGGAGGGACACTTAGTAAACTTCGTCTGCTGGATACCCGAACTACTCGGTAGTGAAGCTGACGTAAAACCAATCAATCAATCAATCAATTAGTTAGTGAACTTAAACTGTGACATTGACATATATAGCTTCATCACCGCGTCTCTTAATCTGAGGTATGCATAAATAAGTTGATAATAGACGTCAAAATATTTCACAATTGATGGAATGTATAAATATTCGGAATGTTCAAAATAATCGTATTTATTTAAAGATTAACTTGAATATATTTTTTATGTTATGATGATATAACACAAAAAACTGAGTGTACTCTAAATAAACCGCGAAGCGGTTTATGATCAGTATAGCTCCATAACATAAAAAATAATCTACTACGCACAATCCCTGTGGAAATCCACTTTTATTGGTGGACTCTTCTCTCTTAGACATTGTTACGCCGCTGTATCAGCCAATCAAAAGCAACATTACAAACGGCGACGTAATTTTTTACGTTATGGGCTGATACCAATCTGTTAAGCAAATTAAAATGCTTGTTACCAGCAAGATTGAATTATAACTTAATATCCGGTTGCTGTAACTAGAGAATAAGAGTTAATATCGGAAACAAACACGCCGGTATTGTTTTAGTTCCGCTTTACCTTGTTAGCAGGTGTTCGGAAATATTTCACCGTCAGCAGATCTGAATTAATGGGCTTCAATATCTGTCATTGCAAACACGAATACAAAATTGTTTCAAGGAAGTCCTCTGATGTGTGTCTCAACATGTACAGTGCGCACAATGCTATCATTTGCTCAATAAATACCGTTCAGGACAGTATCTCTGTTATGTTGATGATCAGTTAAAGTCAATAATTTATACCATAAATGCCCCTTAATCAAATCTGTGAATATTTGTTTCTATGTAAACTATTACGAAATGTTTGGTTTTAGGTGATCTAATCCGTACAGTTTATCAATAAATATGCTTCATATACAAATATGGTTAATTGTATTTTACGTTTTTACTTTGTAAGTTTTTTAGTTACTGTAACAACACGAATCGCCTGAAGAGCTCCACGATGAGCGAAAATACTAACGTTATTTAGTCTTCGTTGTCTTGTTTTATAAATATATATATATATACAGTGTATATCTGGCATAAGTCTCACAGATCAAATACGGTTATATATTTTCTCACTACTTTTCACATTTTTTTCTCTATTAAGTCACTTGAACTCATGTCTTCAAGATTATTTTTTTACCATAATAAGCATACGGTTACAAGCTAACCGAGAAATGTGCGATAACACCAGCATAACTGTTCTGTCTTTCAATTTTGATTAAGGATTTTATGTTGTAGTGATGTTTCCAAGTGACTATGTACATGTTTCAATTTATTTTATGTTGTGATTTATAAGGATTTATGTTTCTGTCTTGCAAAAAGGGCGGATTGCCTTAATTTGACAAATTACGTTGTCTGCACTGTCGTTACTTCTTCTTTGCATATATATGTGCAGCAGATATATTTAGCATGTTATTAATATGTTCAAGTCAAACATGAGAAAATCAGGCTTAAACATGTGACAGCTTTTACATTTAATACTGTTACACTTAAAGTTACTAATACAATTCTTAATTATTAACGCAACACCATAAAATTGTAACTGAAAATTAAATACGGCTGTCGTCCATTGCGACCATATTTTTATCAAATACAGGCAGTGGATTTTCATTATAAATGGCACGTGACATTTATGTTTTACCAGTTCTATTCAGCTTCAATAGGTTGTTTATTTAAATGTGTTGTGTAACTGATTTCATACATTTGTGACATTATTGGAAATAATTTGTATACCTAGATAATCAGAATTTTCAATTTATCGCGTTGGCTAATCAAGCCCAAAAGCCCAAGTTAGAGTCGGCCATGGTGTGGCGTGCGTCGTCTGTCCGGCGTAGTTTTATTTTCAACTAATGCAATATTTTAGAATAACCAAGTAGCCAAGAGCGATGCTATTTTGCCAATACCACGATGGGATTAATGGTAATCAAGTTTGTTTAAATGGATTACCTGGACCATTTTCAAGATGACAGGGATCAAGGCTGTTAAGATATTCACCATCAATTCTGAATAACCAATAGGCTAAGGGTCAAGATTTCGATCTGCTGTCTAGTGTTACACGGTCTAGTGAATGACATAAACTTTCTGTCAACGACGAATGGTTGATTGTTACTAAGGATCCTAAATTACTTCATCTAGATAGCCAAGAGGTTTGAGGTCGTGGTACCAGGCACACATTTTAATAGTGCTAAAGTTTGTCAAGTGTAAGACCTGAATTAATAACCTAGATAAACTGGCTTTTAAAGACAGATTAGTAAGATAAGTTAGAATCATCCAATTAAGATTCAGAAGCTAGATTTTGTTAAACTATTTCAACAAACACTAGTGTAAAACTATGAGATTTATATTATTTAAATAACCTTGACCATATCTGAAGGTCACATATAGGAAATGAAAGACAGGTGATCGATACAGGCCCACCGGCCCTCATGTTGCAAAAATACACAATATATTTTGGAACAGTTAAAATATATACAGTTTCTAATGAATTGTATAAGTTGACGATATTGTGATTATAAATGTTAAAATTGAAACATTATGTTTAAGAAGTTATAACATATTTATTACACATCTACAAAATAAAAATAAAGTGTTGTTTAATGTATAGGTTTTCTTTTTTGTCTTATATGATGCAAGACGTTATATTGCATATCTAGAAGAGGTTACAGGTGTAAAGAGCACCGCTACAAAATTGCCCAACATTGCCCCCGTTATCTCAAATGAATTGGAAAGAGTTTGCAATGCCTGTAGCAAAAACCGGCAATGCAGAGGGACCAATGGCATTAATAGTATAAAGCTGTCTGCGGGGAAATGTACGGAAACCATTGGCGGACGAAAATATTAGAAGAGGTGAAAGAATTATAAAAAGTCATAGGGACCGGGGAGCGGTCCAGCAGTTCCGGGAACTGCCCCACCAAGACAGAGTTTGTTATTAACCTACATACAAATGTACTAAATGTGAGCAAATTAGGAACAATTTCTGAATTTTGTCGAATTTGATGCCAGTCCGCGGCAGCGTTTTGGGTAATGACAGCACGGAGTCGCGTTAGAACTTACAGTGTCAAATTAACATAAATACAACAGCAATATAAACAAATCTCATTCAATCGCTATACGGAAATCTAAGATAATACACAATTTGAGCGAAATCATACAATGTGAGAATTTTAACCAATCAGAAGCCATTTAAAAGCGGCCATTTTTTCTCAATGTCCAAACGGAGGTCGTTTAAAAGTTCGCAGTGTCATGATAATCGTAAGACCAAACTTCGACCAATTAGAAGCCACTTTATGCTTATCATTTTGTTGAAAAAGCCATAATCTTGTTTACTCAATTGTAGAGTGTTCATTTTATCATCTCTTTCAACAACTTTCATAACATTCAACCCAAAAAACAAAAACAAATAAAATGCGTTACGCTGATCTACACATGCCCAACAATTACTATGTGAAGTATCATTAGTTTATCATGTAGGTAGTCTCTGGGAAACGTATGGAAAGCAATTCGAAGAAAAATCATAGTAATAACAAGTTTCTTTCAACTATTTAAAAAATCACAACTTTAAGAATATTACCATACAAAACGCACTTCGTAATAACATGAATTTTAAGTTATGTCACCTGATTTAATTTGTAAACATGGTATCCGGTCTGTTTGAATAACTGGACATAACAGAGTATTTGAGGTCGCTACAATATCCAATAACCTACAGCCGGAATGTTTAACAAAAACAAAACAAAACTGACAAAGCATGTTTTCTCTCCCTGCACCTTTTCTCATACAAATATAAAAAAAAAGTCTACATTTGGTCCCGTGCATCACTGCAAATACCAAAGCACGCGTAAACATCATAATTACATACAGTCTACAAAATGCATCATCCAACGATATCAATATCTCTGCCGTAACGAGTTTTTTCGTTAATATGACTCTTCGTTAACAGATATATTTGGAAACCCCTCAGCTTTGAACTTTGCATTATTATAGAGAAGGTGAACTTCAGACGAATTATAACTTCGCGCGGTTTTGCTCTTCTCAATGGGACGCCGGCGTGAAGTCGTTTCATTTCAACTCTGTGCGATCGTTCGATATCAGAGGCCTGTAAAATAATATTGGCCTTTGCGCATGCTCCGGGAACTGAATGGTGTCCTGTTTGAAATTGGTGTCAGCTGAAACAGACTCTACAAAGTCAGAAAAACGCACCAGAGGCATTTATTTATTTTGTTCCACGTCGTAAATTGTTTTACGTTGGTGATTTTGTACCTTTTACTGTTTGATTTTGCAAACTTGGGGTTTTAATTTTCTCTAGTATTATAGCATCTAGGTTCTGCTGGGTCATCAGAAACACTGCGAAAGCGATACGCCGTACATCATTGTATGAGAGCGACACTGCTTGACTGTCCTCAGATCTAGACAGGATAGGGTGTGGTACACTCTATAGAATATTAGCTGATGATGGGTTAATGTCGGACGGTGTAGACCTTAATCATGGAGAAGAGGCAATTCATAGCGAGCTTAGCGAGCTCTTTTTGTATCGTATGCGCACACGTGGTATATATATATAGTTCAAGCAAAAATCTATATATAGCAACACAAAACGAAACTACAATATATACTATGCGATCTTTTTTCTTTACATCGTGCAGAACGGACTTTAAAATTTGCGACGCTCTGATTGGTAATTAATAGACCAGAAGCTAAAAAAATCACCGTTTTAAACATCACTGTGGGAATAGAAAATATGTTTCACATCGTAACTTATTTGCGTGAACTTTGCAAACGTATTCGTTATGGTTTGAAATGTTTCTTTCATTAAAACGGGTTTAAAAAAAGTTTTCGACGTTTTTGACGTGGGTTAAGTAATAAAAATATTTGTGGGCTTCAAAATTTGCTACATTCTGATTGGTTGAAAAACGGAACAGATCAACTTCGCCGGGAATAGGATCACGGGAGGATAAAGGCCTACAGATCGACAAGAGTAGCTATGGTGGGAATTTTACCAGTTTTGACCTCTCACAGACAGGTTTTATGTTTGACTCAAAAGTCTACTGATTTCAATATGTGTATGTCACTCTATCATCAAGAAAACAGTCGCCAGCTTCACGAAAGCTAGGCATGTGCAAGTCTAGTCGGTTTCAGTGCAAAGAAAATGTTTATCAACGACAATGCTGATGTGCCGCCTGGGGTATGTACGCGCACAAATGTGTAC